CAAACGGCTTTTGCATGATAAAGAGTATTAGATACATAAGCTTTTCCAGATTTTATTCAGATAAACTGCCTTGATTCCATATGATCTAAGGTCAGCCATATGAATTGTCTTCTTCTTTTTATTATTCAAAAACTAAAATCTCTATAGAAGGCATTACAATAGTGTAACTTTTCATTGATTAATTGTCTGAAGCAAATGTGCCGAAATTCAACACTAACTTTTCACTTCAATCTTTTAGGTGATACTTTAACATGTAATAGACTAATCACTTTTATTCCACTTATGGCATAGCAATTCTCACTGCTGGTTCTATTATTTTGTGATAATGATGGCCCACTAGTTCTCCGATTTAGTCCAAGATCATATATTCTCATATTGGTTTGGTAAACTCTATTAGTAGTTTAGTACAATGTTTCTTGAGTATGAAGAATCTAGTACTTGTATACTTAATCAAAACTACTTTAACCTCTTAAGTTGTCATAAAGCTCTCCGTTAACACATTTATCATGCAGACTAGTTGTAAAAGCTCTACTGCCTCAGATACTTCCTAACTTACAAGCCTAGTAACAATTTAACCTCTACCAACTCGATGTTAACTAAAATTACCTACCGAGCAAGGAACTTTCATTTTGGGATCCAATGTGATGTCAATACCAGTTGACTTGTAATGCTTTTCTATGGCATCCAGATTTGAGAAAGGGAGGCCACATGCAATATCTCTAACTCCTTGGAGGATAACAGCATCCTTTCCCCCATGTTTGTTCAGAAAGGATTTATAAGATGAGGGCAGGCTCTCTTGCTTCAATATGTAAGCAGACCTGAAAAGGAGAATATTTTTTCCTTCAGATAATTTTCTTAAAGAAAACATACACTAGCTATATCTGCAAGCAGAACATCCTTAAAACGAATGGTTTAAAATATGAGATGAAAAATCATGAGGTTTCCAATAATTTTGTAAATGGAAGATTTGGTGCGCAGATGAATTGATCAGATATTTAGAAAATGTAAATTCCATCGATACCTCTTAAACATCAAAAGGGAGAAACTTTAGTACTTTCATCCCAATATGATTCACATAAACCACTAAGGGAAGTGTACAGGGAAGGAAGAATTAGAGAGCTTGTTATGGTTTTTGCATGTGGTATGTTTCATTCAGAGATGAAGAGACCAACCAGCTGGGAAAATTTTGTCTTCATTAGGAATTTCAATTTGAAAAAACTGTCAGCAGCTTTTGATTTCATCATATTATTCATGTAAAACAGGTAAATGTACATCTTTACATTACAAAAACCATAGATCTTTACATTGTACATGTCTTTTATAAGAAAGTCAAAGAATTTTCTTATTTAAGTTCATATCATGATCTGCGGTTTTAGCTTTCATGTTTCTAATTGTACCCAGAACTATGTCAGCTACTTTCTCTTATGCAAAAAGGATGTATGAAGGAATTCAATGGTGACAAACTTCAGCCATCAAACAATTACAGAGAACTTAATAATGTTCTCCTTTTTATGCAAAACAGATGTTTAAAGGTATTCATTGGTGACTGACTTCAGTCATCAAACAATTACAGACAACTTAATGATCTTTTCTTTCTTTTACATACATATGTAGCTAAAGGAAAACGCTGGTAGCTGGAAATGTGACACAAGAAAAGTCAACACTACCTCACCTTGCCTAAAAAAGAAGACGGCGAAGGAGAAGAAGGAAAATTTATTGCAAAAGAAATTCAACAACTGAACCTAACAGCCACAGCTTAAGAACTGCATGTCTGGGTTAAGAATGTAATGTACAGTATAAGTTTCCAGTTCTGAAAACATCTTAGCATTTACAGCTGATGAAAAATAACCAAGTGGTTCATTCCAACATGACTCATAACTCAAAAGCTCAGCATTCAGATATCCACTAGAATGATTAACTAAAATTTTTATTATCTAAAGTACCGAAGTGTCATTTTAGAAAAATGCAGCTCTCAAATAGGATTCATAAGAACCAGTACATGCTCTTGGTGCCTGGAGTCTCATCTGGAGAATTCAGACAAACATCATGGCAGCAGGTTATCAGGTGAAATTATATGCTTACAATTAGCAACCAACAGATACTAGAGCAAACCAGCAAAAATGCTCAAAATTATGAATTAAAGCATCTAAATTATCAAGGTTTCAAAGGCAAAATACGCACAAAATCTGTGAAGAGGAAAGACACATAAGAAAAATGTCTCCATGTGCCCATGTTAGGGGTTTACAAATGCGGCCAAAACGTTTGCTTTTGATTCCACAACGTGATGCCAATACAGCAGCACGCATCAGTATATAAATAGCCAAACTTGTATGCTGTGTCTTGTATCCCGTCAGTAGTATTGAAGGCCCTGCAATTGCCCCTGCGAGCAACGCCCTCCAATTTGCTGTCCTGAATTACAATGAAGGCAGAAAAGGCAAAAATCAAACTTTACGCCATCAAATGTCCTTCCACAAAACAACTCCCCACAGAAGACGTCCAACAAGAAAGTTGTCCCGCTATTTAGTGTTTACTATTGATTCACAATTACACAGCCAACAAGGGGATTTTATCCAGTTTCCAAGGAAACAACCACAAAATATAGTGCTTCATCAAATAATCATGTAAATTCAAAACTTTTGGAAGTCGTTTGACCCCCACAAACAATAGAAAAATAAAATAATTGGAAGTTGCAAAATGGGGAAAAGTTCAAACATCACAAGACAGACATGCAATGTATATGCAGAAGCAACGTATACTACAATCTCACTAAAATAAGAAATCAAGAGGAGCATCCATGCCTCCGGTGACCACCAAGAGCGGTAACAATCTCGTCCACTGACACAAATGTACCCGCAAAAGTCCCAAGAAATAATCCATATCTCATGGTCTCCTTCACAGCCAAAATTACATCTTCACTGCTCGAAACCATTTCCATCTTCCTAAAAATAATCAATCAATTCATCAGCTTAATATACTAAAAATTAGCACCGAATACACGTAATTGGTGGATAATAATTTGAAAATTACATTTAAACAAACATACATATTTGCATTACCAGTTTGCATGGGAGGCAAAACTAAATACTAGATTGAATAGCAATTCAAATTCCGCGATCTCAGAAACAAAAATCTCATAGATTCAAGTAATAGAGAAGAGTGAAACAGTAGAAGTTACCTGGCGGAAGGTAAAGATCGTCGCCGACGGAGACGAGCGAGGATGGCGAAGAGACCGAGGCCACCTTTAAGGCCAGCGCCAATAGTGAAACCTTTAACAGAAGCGGTGAAGATTCTCCAGAGCCTATCATAGTCCTCAACTGGATAAGAATCGAAGCTCAACAGAGAGCAAGACGACGAGGACGACGGCAGGCTGGACGACTTCCTCCTGCAAATCGAGCAGGTCTCGTCCGGTGAAGTGCAGGTGCATTTTTCGTCCGCTTGAGGCACTTCTCCGTCGCCCACCGCCGCCGCCATCCTGGTGGTGGTCGGATGGGAGTCCGGACAAAAGTTTCCTTGAGATATCGGAATTCTCTATGGGGATTGAACGAGGCCAGCGGAAAAGTTCCACGTGGGATTTAAGAAGCTTTGTGCCCGAGAGTGGAATCTTCAAAAAACGCCTTTATTTTTCTTTCTTTTTTTGGTAAATAGAAATACTGAGAACATATCTGAAAATTTTAATTGTCTTTTTCTAGGTAAAAAATCAAGTACCATGACCTTTTGATTCTAGAGAATTTTTTTTTTTTTGTTGTTGGAACTTGGAAGGAATTCTAGAGATAATTTCAGAAAACCCCCTTGAGACCTCTTGCAATATCACTAAGTGCCTCTGACTTTCAAAAAATACCACATGCTGTGGCAAATCAAGCATTCTATCCTCATAAGGTTCCTTATGGTTGTTATCAAAATATTTTGATAGGTGTTGACCCTCCTTTTTTACGAGCCCCCGAAAAACAAAAAAAAAAAGATAATCTTAGCAGTTAGCATTCATTGTTGACAAAATTGCCATACAATTTTAGGTGTCATATTCGAACTGTGATATATGTAAAACAAAAATAATAAATATGCAAATCTCTAAGTATGATGTATGTAAATTAATAATCGTGATATGCGTAAGTTTTTTTTTTTCCTTTTTTACTGTAATTATGTGCTTGCACCTTGAAATGAAAATAGTTTTACAACTTGATAATGCAAAAATTAATATCTTGGCACTAATTGCTGAAGCTATTTTCGTTTGCAGCTTGTCTTTGTATCCAAATCTTTCATTTCCATATAAATTTGTAGTAATTTAACAAGTAGTAGGCGTATACTTGTGGCATGACAAATTCTCTCTCCCTTGAAACGAGTTTCTATTCTTACTTTTTTTGTAGGATGGGTTGAAATGTTACCCCAAAAAAAAAAATTTTTTTGAAATTAGAGAAAGTAAGCGATATGTTTAAAAGTTCAAGGGAACTTAATGAAGCGGTAGGAAACCCTATATCCTTCAATTTCTCTTAATGAAGTTCTTCAATTTGTTTATTTTCTCATCCAGTATTCTCTATTGAACTTGAATACAGCTTTCTACTTTTTCTTTTCTGTTACAAGCCAATTATATATTTCTACGAGACTCATAAAAGTTAAATAGAATTTCTCTTTTTTCTTTTTGGGGGACTCCAGTGTTCTACCGGATCTGAATACCGTTTGTGTCTAATTTATGTTACTATCAGTCACTTTCTGCATATAATTTGTATTCGTAATCCACTAATCCTGCCTTTTTTGAGAAATAATTTTGTATTCTGGATTTGTCTTGGATGTGGAATCTGAAATCTAATGCCCTTTTCCCAGTCGAAATATATGTTGGGCCAGAAACAGCAGCTTTGGGCTCCGGCTCCAAGAAGGAGTGGAAGGAACGGGCCACCCCCCTATTGCCGATTCGAGTTTCACGGGCTGGGTTTCAATTCACCCATTTTCATAATGCTAAACCAGCAAGACAAAAGCATGGAAATGCAGAACACGAATTTGCAAAACGCTGAAAACCAAAGGCAAATACAAGCTTGGTGAAGCACCATGAGCAATCATCACTCTCGCATCACCCAATCAATTGGTGTTATTTTGTGATGAAGAAAGAAAACAAAAGTGTGTTTCAGAGATACTACATCATACGATTAAAGATTGGGACTTCATCTAGTAATGTCAATCTAACACTCAGTTAAAACGAACATCTACCCTGCAGCAGGTATTCAGGCACCATCTTCCTTAGAGAATGAGATGCACAAAGTACACCATGTTGCCTATTAGAAGTTCAGAGTTGCACTGAGAAGAGTTTTGCTAAAACTCTTAGCAAAATCAAGTTTCCGATCGCTGTATAACAGATGAGAAAATGGTCTAAAACCTATGCTACTCATTGTATCAGTCTAGAGTCTAAAAGATGAAATGGGTGAGCTTGGAAAGTTAAAAGAGACGCTCACTTTGAACTCTTTTGACTCCAAAAATTCACTGAGAAGAATTTGAATTGCTATTCCACTTTGAGGATGATCTTCACAAACTCGTAGACAAAATAGCTTATTGCTGCCGAAGGTAGTACCTGTAGATTCAGGGTGAAACATAAAACAAGAGGTGAAAAATAAGAGGAATGACAGATAAATGTGTGGAAATAACTATAAATGCTTCGAAATAAAATGTGACCCAACATCGATGTAGCTCATGTTGATGTGATTGTAAAAACCAATTGCTTCTACGGCAAAGAGCAAGAACAATCATCATGCAGAGAAAATCCGCAACTGCTTGTCAAAGAAAAGTGAAATGCAGAGAAAATTTGCATCTGCTTGTCAAAGAAAAGTAAGTTATTCACAAAGCTCAGCCAGGTGCTGATTTCCTATTGTTGTCTTTGAACTACATCATCAGCAACATCTATGATTTGAAAGGGGAAATTTGACAGGCAACGGGTCCTCAACACATATATCCAAGAGTAAGAAAAATTACTCAAAGCTGTTGACCTCAAGACTTGACTATGCAGGAGAGCAAAGATTCATCTTTTTGTCAACATAAGGTCAGTCAGCTTAAAATACTAGAACTTCAGGTAAATTGAATCCTCCGGGTTAATTAAATATTTTTACTAGCAAGACAGTGGGCCATACTGCCGACGGAAGGCCGAAACTGATTGAGAAAACAAAAACCTTTCCCTTTTGTTTCAATATCTGGAGTGACCTTTGCAGATATACAAATCATAATATCCAAAGAAAATTAACTGCAGGGTTGATCTACAGACACCATAGGCAAGTACCTGTAGTAAACTCGGTACTAGTCCTGCATAAAGAGCTGGTACACCTCCATGCTCAACTATCTTTATAGAAGTTGTTAACACACCACCTTTATTATACCGGCCTTGCAGTTGAAGCTGTCTCCTGACAACCTCAAAAGGGTAGGTGGCAGCTTCAGCACAGGCACCAGAAATAGCCCCATGCAGTAAGGTCCTGATTGGTCCCAATTCCAGCTGGTCCAAAGCATTCAGTTCTTGACCCTGTCGCTTCATGTTCTGAATTCTTTTCCTTCCTTCGGCAGAGTGCAAATAAGCCGATTTCAATATATCATATACACCATAAAAAACAGCAGCTGAAGGTGCAATACTCATTATGGAGGGAAGTAAACCCTTGTAAAGAGAAAAGAACCCCTCAGTTTGGATCACATGACGAAAAGCACCAATTACACCACCCAGGGCTTCTCCACCAGGAGCTACCAATTTGGTCCTGATCTGAAAGATTTGGTATGTAATCAAGCATGTTAAACTAGTGAATAGAAGTTGCAGGAATAAGAATAAATGTGGCTTCCCAGCTTTGAAAGATAACACTTCCTTATGGCAATGCTTTTGGATTTTGGGCAGACAAATAAACATGGAGTAATGGATATGTACATTGTCATTTAGTATTAGCCTGGGGGAAGAGCTTTGAACAATAGATGGCTGATTGTTGTGTATTGCTCCTTTATGCAGACAAACATCCCTGCTGCATATTACAAGCATCTACTAACCTAAAGATAACTGTAGTGTAATTCCCATGCAATGCAGGCCTACATTACATTAATGCTCTATACAATATGAACTATACTGCATGGCTTATCTATGGTCAAAAGAAAAATATCTAACATCTCCAGGGTTTATATGACGCATTAAGTTCATTATAGTAAAACAAAACTGCACTTACTTCTTTTGGTGCCTAGGTGATAAAAGCCGCAAAACGCATGCTTTATATATATATATATTCAGTTTTGAACTATTATATCTCCTTCATCCTTCTTCTTCTTGAAAGAATAAGTTTGACAACCAAAATGACCATTGAAAACAAAGTGGCCAAACTACAATGGCTTGAAAGTATGGAAATCAAAAAGTATATGGATAACCTCTTACAGTGTCCAGAGGCAAGCAGAGGACAGTAGCAGTAATACCAGCAGCAGCACCAGCAATAAGCCGCTCAAAATTTGTGGTTTCTTCATTTCCATGTAATTTAAGAAGTTGCTTTCTGTATGTATCATAGGCATAAAAGTTGACTGCCTTGAAAGGAGCAGTGCGGAGAATGTTAACTAAATTTCCTTTCCAGAAGCCTCTCAAGCCTTGAGTAGCAGCAATAGTCTTGATGAGCTCAAACAATTTCTTCTCTTCACCACGAACCATATATTCAAGTTTTAGTCTCTCCAACGGAGCAACAAATGTTCTGAAAAGTGAGATAAGTCATGCATTGAGTAAGTTGTTTACAACCATGAAAAGACAAAACAAGAATTTTGGAATTACTTTTTGTCAAAAGCCAATAAATTTCCTTAATATTCATTCTTATGAAATGAAAAGTTATCACCGTGTCACTTCCAGAAAGTTGCAAGGACATAAAGAAGAAAAGAAACAGGCATCCACTATAGACACACGAAACTTGGCAAAAAAAAAAAAAAGGAATATCCAGCCCATGGAATTAACATGTCGAATAGACCAAACAAATGAAAAGTCAATGGAAATCCATCATCACAACCAAACTATAGAGGAAAAGTAAAATGACAAAGACTAGGGCTCCAACACACATTAAGAGTGTGAATGTTTCATTGTCTTGCATGAGGAGATTGGGGAAATTACTTGCTTGTTATGCAAAAAAAGAGATACCGTTTGATTGTTTTCTAAAAGTTTCATTTACTAAATCATAAACCAATAGCCAGAGCAGCACACATGCAGGCATGAGAAATTTTATGATGGTGAAACATATGGAAGTTGGAAAGTTGTACGTGGGAAAAAGCCAATAAAAAGACTTTTGATGCATTCAAGAAGTAATTCATACTGTACATACGAAATTCTGATCCTATATATAGATCATATGCCAGTGGGATTCCTAAGAAAACTGAATACACAATAGGAATATCCCATGGCCGGCAGACAGTAATCCACTATATGGTCAGTTTCATTGTAATCTGAAATGTGCCTTGCATTATTCAATTTTCCTTATTGGACAGGAGACAAAATTCTCCTGTACTATGCCTTTATCTTGTAATGATCAGAGCTGAAAGATCAAGGAATTGAGGAAGATACAAGGAGAAGAAGAATCAAGGAAGAAGAAAACAGAAAGGATAGGGAAGATAGAGTTCAGAATTAAGGAGAGAAAAGAGAAGCACTCATTGTTTGAGAGAGGAGATTACAATTCACATATAAGCTGATCTTCTTTACATCCCAAAGTTCTTATATATAGATTCACCTTATAGAGCACTTATATGTAACTAACTCTTCTCTTCAACTAACTAAGCCATTAGTAGTCACTACTCTGGCAATATTATATGACTCCCTAGCCAACTTCTGGAAATGATGATCTTATGAAAAATGAATATCAAATGATTAAGTTTGGGTCATTACAATGCCCACCCTCCCCCCCAACAAAAAAAATTCCTAGTCCCTATGATCAACTTCAAACATTTGCATGGAGTACACAAGCTAAAATGTACAAGGGCAAAGTGCCTAAATACAGATGATAGTACTCCATAGCACACAAAGTAAGCCACAGAGTGTAAGGAGTTTGACAGGCACTTATCTACCAATTCTTCTTCACAGCAATATGAACGATTGATTTCAGAACCTTTATGACTAATCACCCGTAACCAAACTCACCCACTGACCTAGCTACTGCAGCACCCCCTGGATGCCCTGGAGAACTTGATCTTAAAACTTTGTAATCTTCAAATTCTCCAAATGTGAGCTTCTCAGGATATAATGTAGGAAATGTTTCAACAGCTGAAAGTAAATGTATTTCTCTGGCCATTTCTCCACCGATGTCATAAATTGCGGTTAACTCATCATGAGTTTGTCCATCTCTATACTTGACAGATTCACAAATTTCCCTGCCACTAGTAACAACCATTCCTATAGCTAGAAAATGAGACAAAACACAATCAGGATCTACATATTTATTAGTTCCAAATGGTGTAGTGCCATCTCTTCAATTTTGGCATTGAACTTAGTAGCAATCACTCTACTGCAAATCTTAAGATCTCCATGTATCATCAGATTTTTGCACTTTTCATCTGGACATACAAGGCCAATCCTCTCTTCCACTGATTCTGTTTTCAGCGGACTCATTTGCCCCAGGATTAAATTCTGGTATTTGACAAGTACGTGGGTAATTCAATCCCCTGCAAACTGTCAAGAACGTCCTCATTGTACCATCTCGAAGTAATCTGCTCGTCATTGTGAAACAAACAATCATATTTCCTTCTTGTTGGGTGATTGACAACTAAACCCAGATCCCCTAGAACAGCCCTTGAGTATACCACTTCAAGTATTCCCAGTAACATTTTTGAGGATCTAGACCACAACACTTTGAATGGCCCACAACTGGAAATATAAGCTGTTGATCCTGCCCTACTAGATGCATTTTCTCCAACCCGTATCAGCTTCTTTAGATGCATAGAAATTTCATCCTTGATAATTTCTTTGAATTTTGGTACTCCATCCAGCTAATCATCTCTCTTTCCAGCTTAAGATCAATGCCTCGTGAGTCAACATCAACAAAGGCCAAGGTTTTAATCTTTCTCATATCAACAGCAACACAATTTCCATAGGCATCATCAAACAAGAAAGTGAACCTTTTATCAACTTTAATTGTACTTAATAGATCATGAAAATCAGAAATAGTTTTGGGAAGACCCAGATAATCCTCATTCAAGCTTAAAGAACCTCTATAAGAACTGGACAGAAGATGCAAGTTCATCAGGAAAATTATGCAGTAACTTTGGATGATGAATCAAGATATGGAACTGATCATTAGAAAGTTTGAATTCATTACCAACTGTTTCCACTATGGAGTTGGAATAATTGTTTTCTCCATTTGGTTCAAGGAAAAAATTCATTCCCATCTGTTTCACCATCATCAGAACAATGTTTGGCTTAGTATTGGAGTTCCGCAACTCCCAAATAAAAAATCTCATTTGGGCTGATCAATTTCGTCTCCAAGGAAATCTGAGCCTGAAAATTTTGTATATCCATCATCCTATCATTTTCCTCGTTGTCACAATCAGTTTCAACAGTTGCTTGATTTTCATTAAAAACCCAGAACCCATTCTCATGTACCCCAAAACAACCTGTCACTCCAACATAAGAAGAACATTCATTGTCCGCAATTCTTGGAGCATTAGATACTTCAACACTTCTATCGGCAAGGTTAGAATCTATATTCACTTCTTGATAACCAAGATTCATGGTTATTCCTTGAGTAAGAAACATAGGATGGCCCAAAATTTCACTCCCTCCATTCCCCAATTTTACTAGATTATCCATCTCCTCCTCTTTGGTGAAACCCAGATTGATGGATAATCTTCCAGTGGAAGCTATCAGATTTTTGAAGATTTCATCCTCATCAATCAAGGATGTTTCAATCATACCATCTTCCTCCATATTCCGTTGCTTATCCATTTTCATGGTCTCAAATTCAAGAATTTCATGGTCTTAAAGGTGGGTGAATCGAGAATGAAAAGAATCAATCAGGGGAAGAATGAAAAGAATCAATCAGGGGAAGAAAGAAAAGAAAAGAAGTAGAGGAAGAATGCAGATTAATGGAAGAGCAGAGAAATAGAGATAAGAGTAAGAAAAGACAAGGAAGGACAGAGAGAACAGAGGGATAGAGAGAAAAGAATTAGGAAAGAGAATTCTTTGATTGGGGCAACTGAAGCTTGCATCCGAGGACCACAAGCTCTAGTACCAATTGTAATGATCAGGGCTGAAGAATTAAGGAATTAAGGAAGAAGACAGCAGAAAGGATAGGGAAGATAGAGTTCAGAATTACGGAGAGAAAAGAGTAGAATTCATTGTCTGAGAGAGGAGATTACAATTCACATACAGAACTTCTTTACATCCCAAAGCTCTGATATATAGATTCAGCTTATGAGCACTTATATGTAACTAACTCTTCTCTTCAACTAACTAAGCCATTAGTACTCGCTACTCTAGCAATATTACACAACTCCCTAACTAAATTCTGGAAATGATGATCTGATGAAAAATGAATATCAGATGATTAAGTTTGGGTCACAACATATATGACATAAATTCCATTTTCATTGGAAGAAAGTCAAACAATGAACATCTCTTACAATTGAATGTGAGTGAGATGATAACTCAAAACTCCCAGGAAAGAAACAATCCTAGGCCGCACTTTAGTCGTACTCAGCAAATTAGTGAAAACAGGTATATTTGTCACTATAATACAGTTCAATTAGGAAAAAAAATATACAAAGTTCTAGATTTTATCAAAGAGCTCAATAGATGCATTCGATATCACATGAAGGTTTCTTTTTTTTTTTCAAAATTCACAAGAATGTATGGTTGTTAAACGTAAATGACAAATAGTGTTATTAGTTGCCCGTAATCCTAATTGGAAAATTAGCTCCTTTATCATCTAACCCTATATTAAAGCATCAAATTCAATATCAATGTACGATAAATCCACTACACTTTCTTTGAATTCTTTTCTTTTCTTTGTTTTTTTTTTTTTTTTTTGGGAAAAGAGTTTCTGCGGTTCTCCTTTCCATTTCCATTTCCATGAAAGAAAAGTTTTAAGATAATCATATATAAACGCAAGCATAACCATTATCACCCAAATTAAGAACAAAACAAAATGTAGAAAAATAAATGTAAATTGACCCTTCAAGTTGAACTTCCTGAGGATCACCCCAAAAAGATTATGATAAAACAAAACAGAATAATTGTAGCATATGCCTTGAAACCATGGCAGCTACAGCTCCAGCCCACAAATGTTTGGTGGTATTCACGGCTCCGCGGCCGCTGTCGCGCAATTGCACCTTCTGCTTGTTTCCCTCATCTTCAATATCGCCAACCCCATTGGGCTCCACTAATGCTTCTTCTTTACAGCTTCTTTCAACTCCATTAAACCACAAAAATTGGTTAGAATTCTCAACCAAACCGTTTTTACTCCTAATTGACAATCCAACACACAAAAAATCGCCCCCCTTAACCGCGGGAAATTTGAACAAAGGCTTCTTTTTCTGGTAAGAAATGGAGAAATGCGGGTCATCAGAATGAGTTGTTTTTGAAGAAATTGCATCTAGAATTGAAGAAGAAATTGTATTATCAAGAAAAATTCCGCCAATAAAAACAATTTCTTTACAGTTTGGGTTTTTATGAGTGGCTTTTGCTAGTCCCGCCCCTGGCATTTGGAAAATAGGAGAAAACTATTGTTCTTTGTTAAGGGAAATGAATTCAATAATGGGTTGGATTGATTTTTCCCCTTTTTTTTGAATGTTTAAATTGAAATGGAGTTTATATAAAGTTGAAGGTGGAGAACGGAAGCAAGAAAATGGAGGTTTTACGGCTTTGCTTCCATCGCCGCACGCTCCGAACTCTTTCGAGGTTTATTGATTTTTTTGTCCTCTTATAACTACTGGTTGTTTCTGTATTCACTTTCAGTTACGTTTATTGAATATTTTCCTATTTGGATTTCTTTGTGGGAAAACTTCTATCCAGGCTCCAATCTTTCTAATAATTACTATTAAGGCATGAGATTTTCACGGCAATGTAAATCATCAATATATCTTTAATTACTATTAAGGCATGAGATTTTCACGGCAATGAGATTTTCACGCTCAAGACAAAGTGCCTATGCTAATTGAGAAAACTATGAAAACTGTAAATTTTGATAAAAGTGTGAGGACTTATAATTGGCTATATATCTAAAAAATGAAATTACATGCTTACATAAAATATAAATTGTGTTGATTTTCCAATAATATCTCGTGTAGATAAAACTTATCAAATAAGTAAGATATCCAAAAGTTGCATCTTAATATTTATATGGCTTTTGCAACCTCTAATGAAAGTTCTATACTTATAATTTCTTAACATTTTTTGTATTTTGCCTTGGTCATTGTTGTTACCGAAACTTATCCTTTATGCATGAAGAAGAAAGATAAAAATTGGAAAAAAATGAAAAATAATATAAAGGATAGCAACATTTGTGTATCACAAGGAGTTAAATGAAAAAGAATAAAATTTTTAGTGAAATAGTTGTATAAATATGAGGAAGGTTTATTGTGATTAACCTTCTTGTTTTTAAGTGTAAATGAGAGGTCTCGAACTCGGATCTCTTACCTACACTCCCTCCCCTGATATCATTCAACCTATCTCTCCTCCTATTGTGATTAACCTTGATTTTTCATATGTAAAATCTAAGCAACTTATTTTTTTTGTCATTCTAATCATGTAAACCAAAAAAATTGTTGATGTACACTTTAAAACAATGCTTACATTGTTGCACCTATTCAAAATGGCAATTGCTTTTGTTAAGATTTTAATGTCATATTAATTATACATGCATGCACCTAATTCAAAATGACAGTGGTTTTTGTTAAAGGTTTTAAGTCCATATAAATTATTTCAATACACGTGTAAGCAATTTCATTTTGTACTATTACAAAAAAAAAGAAACATGACAAAATTTTTTAAACACACCCTAATTAAAATTGAGACACGTGACAGATTTTCAAATGCCACCTCTTTACTTTTGCATGATATCATGATATTGCAATATATGAGACACGTGAGAGAATATTTAAATGCCACCTAATTAAAAATTGAGACGCGTGGCAAATTTTTTAAAGGCCACCTCTTTAATTTTACATGCAATATATGATGTTACAATATGTTTAAGAGTTTTCATTTTACGCTATTAGAAACTATATGTGACAAAAATTTTAAATGTCACCCAATTAAAAATTGTAACATGTGATACATTTTTTTAAAGGCCATCTCTTTATTTTTGTATGCAATCTATGGATAAGTATTAATGATTCAAAAGATGTATCTTACTTGGATTTTTGTTTTATTTGTCAACCTCAAACAAAACTTTTTCATTTCTGTACTCCTTCCTTATTGTTTTTAACTTTTACCCTTTTCCCATTTCCATTCTTCCCTTTTGTTTGAGGTAAAAAATACACACGTACCACTGTACTAGTGCATCCCTTGACTTGATTGGATACTCTGCTAATATAAATTAGAATAGAAGTAGGAATAGGGGTTGATCATTGACAAAAAAAAAATACTAGTTAATTTTATAAATTAATTTTTTATACATTAACAGTACACTATTATCATTAGATGTCTAATAACTAATATAAAGTTAAATTTACAATCTAAATTTTACATACGTATAATTTTTCAATCGTGATAGTATATACTGTATTAGTGTATATAAGATTAACTCTAATTTTATTATACTTAATTTGGTAGTTGTGTAGATAGCTTTTCTATAAGAACACTTAGGTTTACAATTTGCTTCATAAAAGTTTTCATTTAACTAATGTGCCTTATAGTTAATTGCAAACTACAACTAGGGTAAAAATTTAAGGAGTTACTGTACTAACCCATTATTTTCTAGGTTTTAACATATTTGGGTGAATTTTAGGAACTTCATAAATTATTCTTGATTTTTTGGATACTTTGATATTTTGTTAGAATTAGTAGCACATAACTTTGGCAGTTGCCTTGCTTCAATTTTATCTTCAATCGACATCCACAGAAAGTTGTATGAGTGATTTATGACTTTACACATATAATCATAAGATAATGTTTTCACATTTTTACTTTAGTCAATTCATGTGAAAATGTGTTCAAATTTGTGTTTTGCCATAGATATGCTGCATTTTTTTATGTGCATAGAGACTAAACTCATCAATTTAAACTTACTAAATAATACAAAACCTCAAATATAGGGGACCAAAATACATTATTCCGAAAGTAAGGGACTGAAGGCTTACAAAACTCAGATATGAGGGACTATGTTGGCAGCTTATAACCCATTGCATGTTTTGATGACCAATTCCCGCGAGTCGGGTGGTAATCTATGGAGTCATGTACAGCTGATTATAGCTCGAATAACCGCCTGCTTACTCTCTCTATAAATACTCTGTTTCTTCGCGCCTCAATTCATTTCGAACTCACCGACTCTTCACTCTCACACCTTTCAGTTCACACACTCCGTCTCTGAAATTCTAGGGTTCCTTCGACATTCTCTCAATTTTTGTCTTCACTGCTTAAGCTCAAGAGAAGAATCTGG